AACTACATGCAACAATGAAGATACAATTAAAAGAAGCTCAAGGATAGCAAAAGGCCAACGCGGATGCCTATCGCAAGAAGCAACCACAATTCAAAATAGGTAACAAGGTATGATTACTTCATCACAATATTAAGACTACTTGTCTTTGTGATAAGTTGAACTATCATAGGCTAAGACCTTTTTCTATCTGTGAACAAATCAATCATGTTGCTTATCGATTACATCTACCGAAGTCTATGAAAATCCACCCTGTATTTCATGTGTCCTTTCTTCAGCCATATAAGACAATGAATATTTTAGAAAGATGACAAATACCACCACTTACTATAGAAGTAGATAATAAATAAGAGTTCAAGGTAGAAGAAGTCTTTCTTAGATTTAGGGCGGTATTCAAATAGGTTGAAATATCTTATTCATTTGTACAAATATGATATTAGTGAATGCATATAAGAGCCATCAAAGAATCTTGCAAATGTAGCAAAGAAAGTTGAAGCTTTTCATCAATGAAATCCATCAAAATCAAGATGAAGGATAGCAAATCTTTTTTATAAAAGAAATAAGATCAAAGGAAGATAAAATTCTACCTTCTATCTTTTTTTGTAACTTATGTATATTTATGACACTAACAAGATAGAGAACCAACAACTAGCAAATTTAACTCAAAAACTTTTATTTGCAGACTTACTAGATGAGACATTGCAACTGTCACAACCTTCAAGATGAAGATCCTCAAGAACGACATGTCCTTCCTCAATTAGATGGTGAGATATAACGTATTTGATATCATGACCTTGGAAGAGACTCTCACTGTTTAGTAATTTTATAAGAGGTAGAAACAACTCCTAGGGGTGTTTCAAATGTTGTATTTAAAAGAAGTTATGAAGGCCTCAATAATAACCAAATAACAGAGTGATCTTCTTGTCCTAATATGGAATACTATCGATGGTTGAGAGGGCCTATCAACCATCTTCAAAGAAAGCAAAGATTGCAATTTGTGGCAAATACAATTCACCATATTTTACACTTCTTCAACGTATGAAGACCGCTCCTTGTGGAACTCATCTCTAGAAGAGGGGGAGAGATAATGCCAGGGACATATACATTTATCTCAATAATTACTTATATGATTAGATAGAAGTAGGTAAATATAGATTAATTTCATAAAGTCTTTTAGTGAAGCTTCTTAGAAGCTTCATAGATACAGTTTTGATTTTAGATGTATTTGTAGGTTGGAAACTTGGCCAACAAGTTAACCACGTGTTGGTAGCTTGTGGAACAAGTTGACTCCGTATAATAGCTTGTAGAACAAGCTAATTATATTGCGCATACATAAATAACTTGCCTTGCAAGTTAAGACATGTGGCTAGCAAAGTCAACATGTTTTTAAGGTCCTATAGAACATCGCCACGTAGCTCTTAGTTAAGAGTATATATGGAGGCAAGAATGAAGCCTTCTTCACTCTTGTCAATGCAGTTCTAGTTTTTAGTCTTCTTTCAAGACTTTATAGTCATCTTGTTTTTGGCAATAGCCATTCTAGTTAATATTATATTATCTTTAGAGTGACTTTCTAGTTCTCTTCAGTGATACAAGAGAGTATTGAGGATCCTCTTTTTTTGAGATTTATGTCCTTGATACTTATCAATTATTAACGAATACTTGAAAAGTCAAATTTTTCTTTTGTGAAGCTTATAAGAAGTTTTACAAGATATAATTAAATTTACTTTTTTCTATTTACTTCTACTTAATTCTTCTAATCTAAGTAATTACTAATGTAAATATATATGTCCATGACATCTAAGAATAATCTCTATTTCAAGAAACATCATAAAGCAAGCAAAGAATATTACATAGAGGTATAAATTAAAAAGAATACATCTATATATATATATATATATATATATATATTCTACATAAAATAAAAAAATATATATTTTCGAATATATAAAAAAATAAAAATATCTATTCTTATGTAATAAAAGATTAAAAAGACTTATATTAGACTAAAATATAACAGAATGCCTTAAAAATAATGACAATATATATAATTTTTTTTATAAATTAATCAATTTGAATTATTTTAAAGTTTTTTTGGAAGTACAAGAATTTGTAATAAGTATGAAAGGAAATAAAAGTTTTTATAGTAATTTTTGAATTTCATAAAACTTTTTTGAGCATTAATGACCATAGGATGTATTTAAAGATATCAATACATTTAATTGACAGTAAGAAAACTACAAAATTTTATATTAAATTTTATAATTTTATATTCTAAGTTTAAAGGCTTATATTTTTTTAATAGTTTTTTATTATATTAATAAATTTAATAGAAAATAAAATAAAAAATAATATTTTATTCTTAATCAATTAAAAAATCATAAAATATATATACTTATTACTACTTTGTTTTTTGATTTTCCTTAATAGGAAGGTGGTTAATAGATCTTTGAAGAGATTAATTATATTTTCTGTCTAGTTGAAAAAATCCTCAAAATATTCAAATATTTATAATGGATTTTAATTATATTTACATAAAATTTAGTATCTATTTACATAAAAGAAAAAAAAATTTATTGTTAAACTTAAATTAATTTTATAAAATTTTTTATTTATTAAAATTAAGTTTTTGGCTTAAATAAATTTGGTTGATAATTAATACAATCTCTCTTTGAAAAAAACTACATCATTTTTAGAAAATTTTAATAAAAAAAAAATATTTTTTTATTTTTTAATAATTCATATATATATATATATATATATATATTCCTAATACTTTAAATCAAAGATATTTTACTTTAATTTCTGAAATATTATTCATTTAAAATTAAAAAGTGATATTTTTTTCTTTTAGAATATACTAATTCTTTTAGTAGATAGAATAAGAATCATAAAAATTATAATAAAATATTTATTAATTAAGATTATTATAATTGATATAACACTAAACTATTATACTATTGAATATAAAAAAATCAAGCTTTTTGATAATTAAACTTATATATATATATATATATTGAAATAATAGTAATTATTTTTTAGATTTTTAAAATTCTATTAATTTTGTCTTTATTTTTAAATTAAAATTCCTTAATTAAAATATCAAATTATTTTTAAAAAATCCTAAGTATGATATATATATATATATATATATATATATATATATATATATATATATCTAAATAAATTACCTATAAAAATAATAATAATAATAATAATATGTTACTAATGTATAAATTTTTTATACTTATATTATCATAGAATTTAATTTCATAATTTTTTTTATATTTTTAGCTATTTTATTATATTAATATTCATTAAAATACTTTTTTATTTCAATAACATGTATGTCATTATAATAAGTAATATATTATTTTATGTAATTTGTACATATTTTCGAAACTAGTTGTAAAATATTTTATATATTTTAAACTTTATATAATCCTAAAATCTATCAAAGTTTTATTTTTATTTAATTCTGATATATCATTCTTTTAATATTAATGTATGAAATATTTCAAACATAAATTATGATATATTAAATCAATTTTAGAGTATAACTTATTAATTTCTTATTCGTGTTTGAGGTTGGATGAGTATATATATATATATATTAGTATCTAAACCAACTTTTAAAATTTTATTTGTGGTTTTTATTTTAAAAATGAATAAAGTAAAATTAATCAGGTTGTCTTTTGTGCTCAAAAAAACTATTCTTTTTTGCTTTTATCCGATTTATATATATATATATATATATATATATGTATGGATATCTTTTATTTCTCTTATTATATTAAAAATATAAAAAAATTAGACAAAACCAAATCGCTCCCTAAAGAGCTATGAAATTTCATGACTCTACATAGTATATAAAACCTCAGATAGCTTTGATGTTTTTCTATATATGTATAAATATATTTGAAATAAAAGTAGTGTTAAAAATAGTATATAGTATTTTTACTATTTATAAACTAATATAGATTATGATATATTGAAAAATTAAATTCCGAGTTTTAACTTGAAAAAGAATATACTTATTACTATAAGACTAAAACTATCTTCATGATTGTTATTATTATTTTTTTATTGCTAGTGATGTTTATCAAAATTTTAAAGTAACTATTTATTTATTATGCTTTAATTTTAGAAAATATTTGATTGCTAAATTATCCATATATACTATTTTATGTATTTTTAAAATTTTTATTTATTATTTATTGTTAATATATTTATATATATATATATATATATATATATTGAATTAAAGAATTTCATTAATTTAGTGGAATATTTTTTCAAAAACCTCCTAGAAAATTCATGAAATGTATATATGTATAACAATAGTAAATACTTTTGGAGGATTTTGACATTGATGTTTAATGATTTTATGACCAAAAACAATCTATCTAAAATACTAATAAAATGGATTGATTGTAAAATCATCAGAAAATCTGAATAATAATGTACAAAACTCAAATTATATTCAAATTGGATGTAACGTGTTGCCTAGAAGGCATGCTTCAGTTTTAAAACATGTGAACTAGAAATCTAGTAAACAAGTCAATATTAGAACTATTTTTAAAAATAAATAAATAACTAACCACAATATCTTTGAAATAAAATTTAAAATTATTAAAATCATAACTTCCTTTTTTGTTTTGTTTTGTTTTTTTTTTTTTTTTTTTAAATCCATCTAATCAGTTCTACATGAATACAGTTTAACTACAAGAATGACATGCCCAAAAAAATTGGTTTGATTTGAGTTTTTTCGACATCAACATAACGTTGTGAAATAAAAATACCTCTACCTTCATGTATCAAAAACATGAAAAAGCACATACAACCAGTGATATTCTTTTATCCAACGTTTTGTATAAAATCAGATACCTATTCTGTGCATGCATCACCATCGGCTGAATTAAACCAAAATAACAAAATACACAAACAAGTTTTAAACCTACAAATCTAATCTGGAATGTTTGCTGAAGCTCACTGCAAGCTTGATGCACTATTAATATGCTAAATAAAGAAATATTAAGATAGAAAAATAAATTGAGAACAATCATTTCAATACCACTATCAATCTAGCACTCTATATGTGACTGACTACATTCTATCGTGTTTCGTGTCTTTTTTATAAATCTACAGTAAGAGAACCACCCAAACGCTAGGACCTCAGTGCTAAAATTATTGTGGGAAACAATGCCTTTACACAGGGAGTCATCGACAATAGCCTGCTCTGATTCATTTTTTTGTCTTTTTTTTCTTTTCTTTCTATGGGATAAAGGTACACAGATAACATGCTAAAACACTACAACATCGACACTAACAACACCTATACACTCTTTGCCACTGCAATCGCGCCCCTGCAAACGATGCCTCAATCGTTACATGAGCTGGAATCCTGCTCGTTTGTTCAAAACTAAGTTGTCGATCTCATCTCAGGTTTCGATCTGAATACTGCGAAGCGTTCCTAACCCACTGTCGTCTTCTGAGTCCTCACGTCGGATATATGAATCACGGGAGTAAAATCATCCGGCTCAATGAATGTGTTATTAATGGTTCATGAAGTTGGGACTCTCAAAGGATGAGTGTGGCAATCAAGCTGCTGGTCGTCGTCGTTGCGAGAAGCCTCCATGTTCGGGAGAATTTCATGGTCGCGGAGGAGTCCTGTCGTTAAAACTAACAAGATCAGCATTGCAGAATGGCATGCGAAAATTGTGTTGTTGAACTCAGGGGTGCGGTAAGGAGTGAGCAAAGGATAGAAGTCCATACCGTGAGTGCTTCGGCGGGCGAGTCGACTGGGGCGTCTGGTGCAAAAGACGGCACATCTGAGGGTTCAGGGGCGTAGACGGATGGAACCGGTGCGGGAGAAAGCTCGGGAGATGGCACTGCAATCACCCAGTCAAACACAAGATTATGTTCATGACTAGCATCACATGATAAGGCACCCACAGTACTAGAAATTGCTAACAGTTGGAGACCCCAGCAGACATACCAAGTGCAGGGACAGGAGTGGGGACAGGGGCGTAAATTGGCTCGTATGCAGGAGTAGGGACAGGGGTCAGGTAAGTCGGCGCCAACTCCGGAGTGTAGACGGGAGCTGCTGGTGATTCGACGGGCTCATAGAATGGGCTGCTCACAGGGCCACCGACATCAGGTGCAGGGGTGTACGCCGGTCCAGCTGGCGCCTCATAGGGACTGTTCGCAGGAGCAACGTAAGGAGTGGGCGCTTCTGGTGACGTGTATGGTGCCCATGTAGGAGGGATAGTCTCCGGTGCCGCCTGAGGCGAGTATACTGGAGCTGTGATTAGACTGCAGCAGGAATACACCCAATCAATGTCAGAAGGGTGCCGGTTCTCGGCAAGGGATTTCACCGCAGTCAGTTTTGCTGTGAGGGTGAGAGGAGTTACTCACCCATACCAATCGGCATTGGCCGAGTCGAAGATCAGTAGTGAGCTTAACAACACTGTTATGATGTTGAGATACTGGAAGCCATGCCCTCCTTTAGCTGCCATAACTACTCCTGCACACCCCCATTCACATATGTGAGGATTAGTCCGTGGCCTCTGACCATTGAGGGAAGTGATCTGAACTGTTAGAATGCATGGTGAGTGAATTAGCCTGCACAAATCGACCTCTTGACATTGTGACAACTACCACAATCTTCGACACTAGAGAGAATCACCCTCTCCACTATGCAGTCAGACACATTGCGCGATCAGAAGGTGTTCATCAATGTGGTGGAGTGTCATACCGGACTATATGGAATTGCAGTTGGGGCAACAGATGAATCAGTGACACACCACTCGGCGTTATCGATCAAACTCCTGCCTACGAAATGAACACACAGAATGAGTTGCAAACGACTAAGAAATTGCGGTCATTTAAAGATCTTACAAGATGAGATGAACTATGACCAGAAGATCGACTTGCAAGAGATGATATTGGGGCAATTCTACCAGCATTGGAGCTGACACAAGATGAGCAAATCGACATTTCCACAGATGGGACACGAACAAGCAACTGATTCAATAGAACGTACATTGATTCACAGAATCTGAAACAGTAGATATATTTGTTGCATTAGATGCGCACAAACTAGTATCTGCTTCCGCGACACGACATTTTGCTAGAAATTCTCCCTCTAACGCATGGTATAGAATTATTCAGATTAGAACCATAACATGTTACCGAAGTAGTCATACCCAGTTGCAAGAGGAACATACCTTCGTATGCAAGAATGAGCTGCTCGAACTACCGCAAAACAGTAACAAACGAATTATGAACAGCAAACAACAGAACATGAACGTACCGTTGCAGCTAGCCTTAGCCAATTAGTAGCAACAGTTGGAACACTACTTGGATGCGAAGCGAGCTGTAACTGAGCCAGGGGGCTCGAAATATAATGAAACGAACTCGTGCGAATGCCACTATGAACTGTAACAGCACGGTGATCTCTAGACCATCGACGACAGCTGGCCAACGTCACTGTTGCAACGGCAAGGGGATGTGAAAGACGAGAACAGCGACCACGACGAAGCCTGGCAAATAGTTGCCAGTTGTGGCGGCTTCTTTCAGCTTGACATCTTAATTTAGCTTTTTATCTGACAAAGTTGCCACCTACCGTTTGCTATTCAACCCTCCAGTCTCCAGTATTGATTTACGACTACATTGCAGTGATTCCCATCAAGAGTCTATCGATGTTGTGCTCTTCTTCTGTATATCTTGAAGTGAATGGACACCAAGCATAACAGCGGAGTCAGTTTTTTTTTTTTTATTTTGTTTTACTATCGGATTAGTTGCTATGCATAATCTAAGTCATGAGCAATGCACCGTCTGCAGAAAGCTCAAGTTCTGATGCAACGCTATATGTGATTCAGATGGAAGATATCGTGCGTCGACAAAGAGTACTGCTCCCAGCAATCAGGGCTGCTCCAGTGACAGTGAATATGATCGATCAGCTGCGAAGTCCATCGGCACCGCAGAAACAAGCTTAAAATTAACCCACCCGTTTGTCTAACCTCTTGTCCCTTTACAAGTATAGATTCTTGGGGTAAGTAGAAAACTATTGAATGGCAATGTCCTGGTGGATGCGGACGTGCAAAACATGTCCTTAACGTTTCATTACTGCGGTGACAGACTGAAGACCTGCAGGTTGCGAAGTTGGTAACAGTCCCAGTTGAGATAGAGTATATGCAATGAGTGCACCCCTCCGAAGACCAGATTGAGAGCGACAGATTGATCTAATTATGTGGCATGACCGACACATTGAAGAGCGAGCGAAAGCTGGTCCTTCGAGCGGGTGCATCTCAAACCATGTAATCATTCAGCTGGAGCACGGCTCTGAACCTCTATTATTGGCGCTCGATTATTGCATCTCTAACCGTGACTCGAATGGAGAGGCCACCTAAAAACACACAAAGAGGTAGTCATGCCAGAGAGCAAGCAGGCATAACCAGCGAGGGGTTGACTGAACTTGTCGAGATAATATTAGGAAGCGAGTACCTAGTGAGAAGGCTAAAATAATGAGTGGTGTGAGCTGACGAAGAGCTGACATTCATCACTTCAGAAAAAGGATCAACATTCATCATTGCAAAAGTAAATGAATGGTATCATAGAATTCAATAGTTGTACACGATGCCTCATGCTTGTCAGGCAATTCTCTTAAATAATCGTCTGCAACACACCAGACCTTTCTTCGATTCAATCCTCGCAAAATCCCTATAGCTGATCTTGTAAGTACTCTCAACGCTTCGCAGTGTACAAACTCTGACCGGTGCTCAGAAGGCAACAGGCTGTAGGCATGATTGACACAGGAAGCAGCTTGTCTTCTACTTTCGAGATGAGATAAGGAAGAGGCGAAGGCGAAGCAAAGGTTCTGAGGTGTCTAAAAACAAAAACAGGCATCTCATTCTATCTACCTCGAGAGGCAGATGGTGACAATCAAGAAAGACTGCAATTGCAAGTCGATGAGCTCACGGAGGAAACTACCCTGAAACGATTCCTTGCGAATGCTCGGCAGTTGGTATGGTTCCCTGCTTCGAGATCTTCGCAAGAGCCTTAAGATCGAGAAGTGGGTCTCCATAAGATAGGAACAACCAGTGATAATTGGTGCGGTGCTGCCAGCGTTATCGAAGGAAGAGGAAGAGCTACCAAGTCGCCACGACTCGCATTCCAAACTCTGATCCTCATTAGGATTTCCAAGGAAGGCTAAGCATGTAGTAATCTGATTCACAGTAGCCGATTAAGTTTGCATTTCGGGAAGGGCATCGAACAGGTCGAAGAAACGGGTCACTGAAGATTCCCTTTCCTCGCAACTCCACTTTGCGGGCGTGCTGGTCCTCCTGAAACAATTCCAACACTTTTTTCTCCCCTTGCCCATATTAACCTGGGAGGAGGGAGAAATCGAGACTTGAAGAAAAAGCACTTGCGACTTTGGGAACAGCAGCGCGTGGCTTTGATGGTCGGAGAATCTTCGCTCCTGAAATCGTAGCTCACCACGGTGATATTCGACAGGTAGCATCTGGTCAACTTACAGAATCCACACAAGCTGAACAGAAGTTTCTCAAATCGGTCGCGAACGAACTCTTCAGTGAGGGTCCGCTGTCGTACACTTTCCTTGTCACAAAACCAATCCATCGATTCCGCGACGTTCCAGTAGATCTGAGCTGCACTACCGGGTCTTGCATTCTTGTGTGCCTAACCCCCGATAAAGAGGGCTCTAGAAACTAGGAATCTGCACTCTCGGGGTTGGTCGTGCACATCGCATGTCCGGCTGCCGTCACGAGACTGTGCAAATTTGTGCAGAAAGTGTTATGCTCGGGGAGTAGCTCTCTGCTTGCTCTTGCGCCCGCAAATTGAGTCCGGTAAGCTTCATTGTACATAAACTATGGTTACCAACAGGGCACCACTCATTAAGAGAGAGACGCAGACCACAAAGCGCTCCAGGAGCTTGTGATAACGCCTGGCAGCAACCAATTGCAACATCTCCACCTTCGGCAGAAATGTGCTCGGCAACTTCGAGCGTGATCAGAAAGAATACAACCAAACCTGACTCTACATCAGAATCACGCCCTGATCCATCCATCACATCGTCGAGCCACTCTTGCCACACTCGTCTACACCTTCGTGCCCACTGGAAGCACATTTCACAAACAAAACTCAGCTCAAATTCGCTGTGGGAGGCCACCCAACTTCAAGCAAGCCATACCGTCAACCCCTAAAATCCATCCATCAAAGTCCTTCCTCTTCAGACTCCACCGAAATCAGCTCAGACGTGCAGGTACCGATCCATGCCTCACAGGAGCCTAAACCTCGTGTTTCACCTCACCCTCAGCAACGTACCCATTGCAGCTCTTCAAAGCATATGCAGATTCTGCTGATGCAAGCTCTCCCAACCCTAACAGACTCCAGCTCTTCCTCGAAACTGAGCTAAACTGGTAGTTTGGATCGCCATTCCTCGCCAATGCACCCGCATTAGCATTCCGATGATGGAAACCGTGGTGAGCCAGCAACAGTTGAGCAGGGACAATTACATCAGAATATGAGCATGCATTTATGGCACAGAGCCAGGAATCCCTTACCGACTACCCACTTGAGCTATATATATTTTACTTTGCTAAATCAAATCTCCTTTTGTAAAGCCGGACACGATACTACACGAAAGCGCCGAGACGCAACGTTCGGAGCTGCGTCAAGTGCACTATGCAATTTAGGGCAATGTTGATAGCTTGTGGGTAATCTGCGTGCATTAAAATGATGAGTGGTTAGAATTAGCAAGAGAGGAGTGTTGGCTTAAGGAAAATCGAGTGAATATGAGAGCAGATTTGTTATTGTTTTGTTTTTAAAGCTAAGCTTAGAGATTTGTGGTGGCTGCATACTTTCAATGTGTTAGGAATGGTGCACTTGCAAGTGAAGAAAACACTTTTAGGATTGATCCTGGTCATGTAATGGGAGCATTATGAATTCAATTGATTTGGATAGAAGAATAAGATCATTCAAAAGCTTCAGAGGCTCGTACACAAATAGGGTGCCTATGTCCAACAAAACAATTTTTTGGTAAACATTTGTGATTTGGTTTCTTGTAGCTAAACCAATTTTTTGGTGCAAAGGAATTTGTGCATGATATTAAAATTTATACATGCACAAATTGTTAGTAAGATAATGTAGAAATTTTAATATCTAATTTCTCTTGGTATATGTATATTTGAACATTGGAATTTGAATTTTGATCCTAAAGTATTATAGAATCCAAAAAAAATTAATTGAATTGGAGTATAAAGATCCTAACATGGATTATACTTAAAGAACTTTCACATACCTATTAATTTTAAAAGATCTTAAGAATAAGATCATAAAATGGAAAAATAGATAATTTATAATTTTATTTAAATTTATCATCTATAGTAATTATTAAAACAAATCTAATACATAATAAATAAGTTCAAGTAAGACAAGCAATACAATGTTAATGATTATTTTATATGTTATACATCTGCAACTATCTTAGTAAAAAATAGATATCTTAGTAAAAAATATCAAACTTGAGTACAATATCTATATAAATAATAGACATTTTGAGATAAGATTTGAGACCATGAAGATACAATTGATATTGCTAAGAATAAGGCAACAAGGAGTTGAGAAGGAAAATCTTATAGTGACAAATATTATTGTCTTATCACAAGACCGTTTAATAAAAAGATTAATAAAGACTCAAGACATATAGATATATATTGATGCCTTAATAATTAATAGAGACAAATATTATTGTCTTATCACAAGACCATTTAATAAAAAGATTAATAAAGACTCAAGATATATAGATATATATTGATGTCTTAATAATTAATAGATTGAGCTTAATTACAATATTTATAGCAAGTTATTAAAGCCACACCCATCTTTGCCATCTCATAATTGATTTCATCTATTTCTTATCTCCATTTCTTATCCTCATTTCCCTTCATTGTTTCTTGTTCCCTATCCCAAATCCCATTTCTCTTCCTCATTCCTTGTCATCCATTGTCATTCCCTTCCCTTGTTCTATGTCCATATTCTTGTTCTAAAATCCCTCTTATATTTCTATTCATTGTCCCCCCTCTATATTCTCCTCTCTTCTTCCTTGTCTAAAATCCCCCCCTTCCTTTAGGAATATGCTTTCTATGGAGCTCCTTTTAGAAGAAGGTGGATGTATTGCAAGGATTTCTTTTTTCTTTTTTCTTAATGCAATAATAAGTTATTATTATTATTATTATTATAAAACATGTAGTTTGAGTTTGGAAAATGGGTGGTGAAGGGAATTGCATAGAAGCCAAAGCCATGGAACATGGAAGCCACAACCTTAGTTTAGAGTAAGTTGTTGTGTTTGGTACTCTCCAATCTTAGGGACAACTTACTTGTTCTTGAATTCTAGTACCCATTTACATCATTCCACATGTGCAAATTAATAAATCTTATTTACTCCTAATAATCTTGAAGTTTTATAATCTATTATTATTATCTGCAAAGAAGATAAACAAGAACTAATAAAAAAATTGATATCATTTTATATTTTTATAAATATATAATATTGATTTAACAAATTTTTCAACAAATTGCAAAAAAGATGACTAAAAAAGAAAGAGAAAAAAAATGCATGCAATAATTACATAATATTATTTTTATTAAAGAAATAAAAAGAAATATTTTTTTTTGTAAAAAAAATATTTTTAATACATAGATAATTAAATGTTTAAAAAAAGAACCAATAAATACTTGCATTTTAAATATTGAAGTAAAATAAAATAAAATTTATGAATACCAAAAAGTTGTTAACACATATAGATGAGTGTATATATATTCATACATACACATAAATGAAAAATTGTGTCATTGAACATAAAAGTAGTTCTTGTGAAGACGTATTGTTGACAAGCCTTGGCTACCATGAATCAACTAGGAGTTGCTAAGGCATAGAGAATGAGGGAGGGGAATTGGGACATGGGATTGGGAACATGGATGGACAAAATCAATCATGAAATGGCAAGAGGGGATGTAGCTTTAACAATTTCCTATTTATATTTTAAATTATATTATTTAGTAAAGACTTCTAGTGCTTTAATAGATCAAGATAACTTGAAATAGGTTAAAAAACATAATGGTTATCTTTAGAAAAAAAGTTAAGATTAAGCTCTTGCATTAATTCCATATAATTGACATTATTGAAACTAAAATTGATTGAATTGTCTAGTCTTTTATATTAAAAGAATATTATTATATCTAATATTATTAGTTCATACTTTTAGAAGTTTGATAAAATAAATCTTTAGTAAATAAATTACAGTGCGCTGTCTCATAAACGGGAATCAATCCGGATTCGTTACAGTGAAGTTATCTGGTTGATAAACAACAACACAACTACACCAAGGAAGAATTTAATGCAAACAGCGTCCCCTACAACTAGTTTACGTAAACATGCAAAATACTTTAGTGTTGACCTCAATATTTAATTTTCTTTACGTGGCACATCCAGTTGTTCCTCGTCTATTTTTCTAATGCTATTACTACATGACTACAATGCCAATACTTTAAATGTATCAGGAAATAATCTACCTTTATTCTGTTCAACGTTTTCCCTGATTAAGTCGCTTCTCTTTTCCGTTCGTTGGACAACTGCAATTCCCTTTGCTTTCTGTAAACTATAAATACTACAAAAAGATGAATTTTCTCTTGACAACTCAGGTGACGTGTATAAGGATTAACACTTTTTGAGTACGTCATTCTTATCAGGATGAATCTATTGATAGAACATCTAACCACGCTAAACCAAAAGAAGAATGATCAAAGAGTTTATAATTAAAGATCATAGTTCATGGAAGAATGAGACGACAGGATACCATTTCTCATTCTAAAGCAGTGACGACTACGTAGAATAAGCGACAATTGGTGCATTGAAGGTTAGGCTTCACCCCCTGGGAGTGGAAATCACGCTTCAAGAGGATCTTTTGGATAGAAAACAGAAACATGTACCTTCTGTCTCAGGATACGTTTATACTAAAAGCAATTAGAGTTGGATATATCCTACATCCAAGCTGATCGAATTCGATAAAGCATCACTGAGTAGTGCACCAACAACTCCGATTGCAGGAACAAGTCATGAAGCATAAACTAACATCCATCATGAACAAGTCTCAGGTTTCAAGTAGCTCCAACACTGATTATGCAAAGAAAGGTTTCGTACGTCCATGTCTGATTAGTGCTTGTAGCTACGCCCCAACTAGTCGGATCTGAATATATACATTGCTACGCAAGTTCCACGTGCCTGAGCTGAGATCGTTTCAGTGCTGTGCTGAACTCTGATTCTACTAGCGGACCAAGCCGCGAACCCTAATAACCGCCCTGGATAAAGGAGCTCAAGCGCTGAAGCTCCTCGCGGTGCTCATCGACCACTGCACGCACCACGTCACCGATGGACACCATGCCCTTCATTCCCTTGCCCTCCACCACAGGGATGTGCCGAATGCGGTTATCTGCACAACGCGGCCTGTTAATCACAAGCATACGCACCGAAATTTCGCAATGTACCCGCAAAAAAGCAGGTTCTAATCTACACATATTGATAATTACTTGAGATCTACAGAATAATTCGTTTATATTCCGGAAGTCCTTGATTTGAAAAACAATATGATTGATATATTTGCACATCGACAAGTGACGAACCAGACTTCGCTTGAACAATAGCTCTACAATTGTCTTACCACAGCTTCTACTTTCGAATAAAGGAAATGTTGTACAGAAGGAGTACAATATATTTATTACAGCATCACAAGAACATCCCAATGAAACAAGTCTGATAAAGACTTACTAGTCATCAGCTCCATGGCGCGGAGCACCTTGGTATCCGGACTTACAGTGATGAGCTTGTTCTACATAAAATAAGTAAATCAACGAAACGATAGTTAGATCACGATACAATTAATTCCATCTGCTCCTCCTCTGATCTAACGTAAAGAGATACACGAGATTCTGATGGGTGTTAAGAAGACAGAAATCCAGTGTCGTCAAAAGATTTCTTTTCACTGTAACTAGGCGCATTGTTAAGCTAGCGAGTCAATGAACTCAGGTTTCCAAAGATAACAAAAGAAAATTACCTCTTCGGTCATAATGTCTCCAACTTTAGTCGTCTTAGAAGATCTACCCTGTACAATAATCTTTCTGAGGTAATCTGTGCACAACTTTCAACAATACTTCATCATTGACAAACCACAGATTAACCCTACACACTAGGAAGCACAATGCAAAGTTGTGTACTATTCCAACAACTCAAAGAAGGATGATTAGGGCACATAGCGTGGTTGAAAGAAACGGGCAGCTCTGACAATGAACCATAACACTTCTTCAGATCTTACATCTCAGAGAATTGATCAGTACATACATTGACAATTATCCCAGTTGTGAGGTTTACGGAATCACTAACCTCTTTCAGTAATAATTCCGGCAAGGGTTTTCTCAGTTCCCGACTTCACCACCAACAATGCCCCCACATTGTTCGCAGTCATCTGAGATGCAGGCCAAACGCCAATAATGTTAAAATAGCAGACGCACACAGACATAATAACACACAAACACTCCGATCGGACAAAAGAAAGCAAGTACGCAGAGGTAGAGTATTAACAAACTCGGAGCCACAAAAGCAACTCTCACAAGCACAATCCGCGAGTAACCCAAAAACACTAACCGATTTCACTGCATCATAGACTGTGTCATCCACGCTGCACCACAACCAGGAGCCGTCAGCGTTCCGGCCCTTTTCCTTGAGGATATCAGAGATGGTAGTGCTCTCAAACCCGTGTTCCTCCAAGCCCTCCTTGGCTTTGGCCTGTCCAGACTCCCACCGCGTCTGAAAGCCAGAACCGAAACCCGAGCCCCCCACACGAACGTGCTGCAGAACAATCCCGGGCAGGGCTTTCCCCTGAGCTTGTACGAGTCTCACAAGACCTTGCATATTGGCAATGAGAAAGAAAAAAAACAACACAACCCACTTCACACACTCGCTTGCACCAAAGCTCAATTGCCTCTACCATCACCCCAACCAACCCAATTCATCAGCTTCCATACAGTGACACACATTCAACAAAAAAAAGAAAAAAGAGGAGAAAAAAAAATACGCACTCTCATCAAACCCACACGACTTCGCAAAACCAACACACACCCAACTCACAAACTCACCTGTTCTTGCTCGTCTGCCTCAACAACCTCAACCCTAAGACTCTTCACACAATGACAGGATCAGCCAAGAACTAAAGTAACAAACAGAAGCTAAACAAGCTTGAGAGAGAGAGAGAGAGAGGCCGATAGACTGGCACTTGAATCCCGAAGATCAAGAAGCACAGGGATGGGTATAGATACTGAAAACCCTTTCTTATCTGGCACCACAGCATCGGCTTCTTGTTAGTAATTGGGAAGCAGTCGCGGGAGGTGAGCAGCAAAGACGGTGTGCTTGACACGTGATGTGGAAGGTCAGGATAATACCGTCCAACGCATTGCTGATCCGACACAAGCATCGCGGCACCATCGGCGGGGAGAGATGGGCGACGGCGATGACGCATGGGATAGATGGATGGAATGCAGATATTGTCCGTTACTTTGGGTCCGTTTTGCACCCCCCCCCCCTCAAAACTCCAATCTTTAGCAGCAGATCTGCAAGATTGTTCATCTCCCTCTTGCCCTATCTTTTTTCTTCCTTGTCTGCTGTGGCCGCCTTCTTTCTCCCCCATTTGCCATCCCGAGACAAAACGGATTCTTCTTGGCAAACTATATTAAATATGTACTTATGTAAAATATATTTGATCTAAAGAGAACCAAATGCCATCTAGTTTCTTCTCTCAAGAGACGTCAAAGATTCTTGATGAATTATCAAAAAAAATCTTTCCAAAGATTTAAAGAGGTTTGGAAAATATTTAACTTGTTTCCTTTGCCATGAGTTAGTATTATTTTTACCATACATAAAATTATTACATGCACTTTCAACCACATTCTAAGTACTTCTCATAATCCATACAACATTAATGAAGAGCGTTTGCAATAAATCAAGGCAAAATTTTAATATTTTTTTAGAATTTATTTAAAACATGAATGTTAACTAAACCAAGTGAACCATTTGGAATGCCTTTCGAAGGACTATTATAAGGTTTTGTTGTTTATAAATGAGTCAACATTGGCAACTAAATTATTGAAAAAAAAAGAAAGTTTAACATACATATCTTTCTAATTCTTGCACAATTCTAATTATTTATATATTTAGAAGCTATTTTAAGTACAAAAATATGACGTTGAGGAAATTTTTGCCTTAAATATTTTTAACTAGCCTTTACTACTTAATGCCTATTTAACAATTCAATCCTCTACTCTAGCCAAATCCCACTACATTCTTTTAACAACCTTATTTCAAACTATCCATCATTTTACATTACAACTTAAGTTTAATTTGATTCTATTATTTTATTTTTTTATTGTATACATTTAAATACAAACCATAGAACTTATGAACATGGTATGTTTTAAAATTATTTTTATATATTGTACATAATTATAGTACAACAATATAGATAAGAAAAAATTAGAAAAAAAATGTTATTGGTAGTATAAATAACCTCATGTTTCAATATTCTATCCAAAAGTATAATTAAAATAAAATAAAATAAAAAGAATGATATTTTGACAATGAGAAGTTTTGGCACAAATCAAAAGATCTATAATAGTTGGAATAAGATTTTTTTTCCTAAAACCAATTTGAATAAAATTTGTTGGATTTATGTAATTAGAGATGAGATCATAGGTTGATACCTAGAGTTTATAAAAGATTAATATTCAAAGTTTATATGTTAGATGAATCTTAAATACTAGATAGTAGACAATTTTGTTGAATTATTTACTAGTTAAACTAATAAACTTGCAAAATAACTAAGTATTAATAGTTAAATTTTATATAAGGTGATAATTTTTATTTTGAGTTTATTATTTAATTATTTTTATTGATACAAAAATTTTGCAATAATTTTGTTATATTTTTTATTTTCTTCAAGTTAATTTATTAAATATTTAAAGTGTATGAATTTCTAATTTGTTGCAACACTTAGTCATTGCAATTTGTAAAATTCCAACAATTAATTTCTTATTGCTTGGATTTTTTTAAAAATTACTAAATAATAATAAATTATATTTTACACGTTTAATTTGTATATATATATATATATATATATATATATATCCAAGTAAATGAATAAAAATAAACAAAATTAGGTAAAATCATATTGAATAAAAAATGTCTTTATTAAGAAACATTGAGATTTTTTTTTTGGATATAAACAATAATATTTGGATTTCTCTATGCATGTCACATGTCTATTAAAAATTATCCTATAATTTTGTACTATTATGAAGCAAGGTTGGAATTAAGCTACAATTTGGATACTAGAGTTACAAGCTCTGTGGTCCTTAAAAAGCCCCAATAAGGGTTTTTTATTATCTAGTATAAATGGAAGCAAGATTAAAAACATCCTTAGATTCTTCAATATCTTTTTCATATTCTAATCTTGGTTTTAAATTATCTAGCTTCTCTATGTTTTAGTTCAATCATTTTAATTTTAATTTTAATTAATTTTTTAATTATTATCTTATATCTTTTTTTTCCAACTTCCTTTCTTTTCAATTATATATATAAGTATTATACTTTCATTTTTTTCATTTTTTCTTTTTTTTTATAAACTTAAAACTTTGATAATATGTATAAAATATTTTAAGAAAAAAAATTAATAAAATAATTGTAGTATTTATTTTTCACAATATAATAATTATTGATAATAAAATTTTATAAAGGTTTCAGAATTAGAGATTTAAAAATAATTATAATACAAGAGTGTTGGAACTTATTTTTATAAATTGGTGGTATCATGGATACACTATACAAGAGACCAAACAAGAAATTGAATTAAAGAATTTCAACAAGAAAGCTAACAAGAACTTGATTAAACCAAATAAGTAAAAGATCAATACCAAGAAGGTGAACTAAAGCTTCAAGAGATGCATTGTCAAGACTGAGGATCCTCTTAGCCTCAACTCTAATATGAACTAGGTATTAGAAAGCTTCTCGAGAAGTTCTCATGTTGCTTGAAGATGAAGCAATCCTAAGAAGCTTTTCAATCAACTTCTTTCACCATCTTAGAATTTTCTAGAATCTACTAAAATATTCTAATCATCATCTAGAACCTTCTAAAATATTCTTAAAATATTTTTAGAATCTTATAGAATATTCTTATCATATTTTTTTATAATTTCTCTTGTTGAATGTCTTTGATAGGTAGATTGATTAGTCTCCTAATTATTGATTAAGCTCAAAAATAATTAAAGAAGTATTTTATAATACATAGTATATAATGTACTTTAGAACTTAATACAATATGTTATACAACACAAAATAGCCATCACCAAATAAGATTTTTTGTATAAGATAAGGTATGCATTAGAATTTTCTTGCAAATAGATTTTTTTTTTTTTTTTTTTTTTTTTTTTTAATGCTTATAATTCAAGAAAAGATAATTCAACTACTCTATTAGTTTGTGTACTGTTTTTCATGTTGAAAAACATTTAGAAAATATCTTCAAAACTATTCAATGTCTTGTAATTGCAAATTCTCATATTACAAAAGAATATATTAGAAGATTTATTTATCCATGCATGTTGTTAAATGGATTTTAGATAGTTGATTGCATAGATTAATATTCATCAATACATCATTTTGGCTAGCCCTTGTAGCTAAGATATATAATTATAATATAGTTATAAATATTTTTAAATACTATAAATTATTCTCATTATTATTTTAAAATTTTACATCGAAATAAGGAGATAAGAAAATAAACAAGATTATTCAAAATATTTATAATCTTCATGTATTTCTTGTAAATACAATTTATTGTGAGTTTGTATTAAATAAAAACATTTCTTTGGTTTGTAAATATTTTGAGAGCTAAATGAAACAAATATTCATATACATAATTTTTTTTTATAGAACCTCTAAATTTAAAATAAATTTTACATGTTATAATTTATTTTTTATTTTTTTATTTTTTTAATTAGACTAAAAATACTCAAAGAAAAAATTCTTCTATAATGTATAATAAAATTTAAATTTAATTAACTACGCTTATTTATAATATTAAAAAAAATTAATATTATAAATTTTTAAATATTATAAATTTTAATTTTTAATTTTTTTTTATTCATTTGAAGCTTATGTAATATAAAATATTTTTCAAAATAAAGAAAAAAATTATAATATAAAAATTAATTAATAGCATATTGAGATTCTTATCTATTACTTGTATTGATAATACTTTAAGATTATAAAAACATAAAAATAAATTATTATTTTAAATAAAATTTTAGATAATTATACATATAAATAAATTCTTATTTAGTATGTATTAAAATATTAAATATGCTTTATTTTTAAAATATTAATTTATCAATTGTTTCACTACTAGTTTTTATTAAATTTCATTTCATTTTATTTATTTTTTTGTAGAAATAATAGATAAATTATTATTAATCTTAAATACAAAAATTGAGTTATTAAACTTATATTTCTAATTAAAATCACCTACTAACATGGTTGTAAAGTAAAAATATTGATTAATGGCTTATAAATATGTAATCAAATTTGTTTAAAAGAGAAAAAAAAAAAAAAAAAAAAAAAAAAAACTATCAAATATTACTAACATAAGCTACTCAATTTTCAAAAGACCATTTGAGTTTTATTGGTTTATTTTTGTAGTTATTTTTAAACATTTAGTAATGCTTCTAAGAAATTGAATTGTAATGTTTTTGTATCATAAATTCATCAAAAAATTATTGAATTCTATTTCGGATGTTTTTTAGGTTCTTATCTTTAACACAAATATATATCTATATATATATATATATATATATATATTATATGTTGATATTCCTAGTAAAAAAATTCTTATTTTTTTTGCATATAATACCATTTTTTTTTAAACATAAATAAGTTTGCATTGATTTGCATCTAATAGAATTTGCTTTAAGTTTTTTCTACTTTTAATTACTACCAAGGTAGTTAGTTTTATAACTTTTACCAAATTTCTATAATTGTTTAGCAATATATTTATAAGTTTTTGTTTTTAGAAATTAATTTTATTATAGCTTAAAAGATACAAAAAATATGCATTTATAATTTCATTATATGGAAGTCATGTATTAATTATTATGTTTTGTAAATTTAATTATTAAAGTTTTATTTATAGAACATATTAAAATTTTGGTCTTTAAAATATATTTTCTATTTATGAAAGGATTTATAAAAATAAAGTATTTTAAGAACATCATTATGGTTTATAATTTGAAAAACATTTAACCAATTTTGCTAATCTCATCATGACTTTTATTATTCTGATTGCAATACTTCTTTTAAAACAACATTCAATTATAATAGTATAAGCAAATAATATTATAGTTTGCATTCCTGCATAAAAGTCTTCTAAAATTTATTGTTTTTGTAAAAACTTTGGTTTAACAACTCTAAGATTCTAAATTAACTTTATTTTGTTGAAATTGAAATTAATCCATAAAATTTTGCAATCTATGATAAAAATTTGATTTAACATGAAGCTTTGTAACCTTTTTAACTTTTTTTGCTCCAATATCTTATATTATACTTGTTCTATTTGTATTCTCTCATCATAATTTTCTATAAATATAGTATTTTTCATCAAATATGTTTTTAAATTCTTGAAATACAAGCAACTACTATAGCAAAAATACAATATCTTAATAAGGCCATTTAAACTAGGTGCTTTAATGTTTGGATGTTAAAATCCTATAATATCATCTATATATATATATATATGATTATGTGATACAAAATGAACCTCTATCCTACTTCATTAGGATTTTTTAATCTTATCAATAATTATTATATTCCTTTACAATGCAAAAACAAAAAATAAAAATTAGACCAAGCAAAGTTAGTGACATTATGAGGACCTCAACATTAAGATCCATAATATTAAACCATTTACATGCAATACAAAATATTTTCTTACTCTACTTTAATAAAACTTATAACTCCATTGCAAGTTTTTGAAACCTTACATTATCTAATACAACAAAGAAGCAAAGACTTTAGAAGCAAAATAACTAAGCACTTTAAAGCCTTGATTAGTGCAAAATTATAATTATATAATACAAGATGTACTTTCTACTCTTGCCAAAAGTCTTCAAATGCATGAATTATTAACTGTAATGAATATATGTATATATACATATAAAATAAAATAACAAATATAAAACCAATCAAAGAAAGCACTTCAAGGCCTCAACCCTTAGTCCTATAATTTTCAATCTATATATTTTAAAAAATTTACTTTGAGGCAATCAAACAAGTACAATGATGAAACACAAATTAAATGAAGTAAACACTTCAGGACCTTAATGCCAAGACTCTACATTTTGTAATCTAAATCCCTACCCTAGGCATTGAGGCCCTACATTTTGTAATCCAAGTCCCCATCCCATCTCCTTAGCAATTCTCGGCTTTACAGCAACTCGTCACACCTTCTAAGCCCCTAACCCTTGCAAAGACTAAACCAAACAAAGAATTAAAAAATTCTGAAATTTGACATTATAACACAGCAATTGAGGAAGATAAATTCACCTCCCAAATAAGCAACCCACCTACTCAACATATGCACAACATAGACCCTCAAATCATACTAATGTGGGGCAGTTTTTCCAAACCACTTTGAATTAAACTTAAATTCAAAATTTAAAAGGGACGAAACTTGCTAGTAACTTTCCAAAAACGTGCAAGCTGTTGGAATTAGTTGGATGTAAGCCAATATGGAAGTACAGGAATGAAGCAATCCAAACTTTCCAAAAATGGCCCCAGCCAATGAAGAGGCTCGTGCCTTCAGGCCTACCCCCGCATCACTACTCAATCGCTCCACTACTTGAGGTACAAAATACATCTAAGTTGCACTCTGGTGAGATGGATGTGAATTGGAAAATGATTTTCATGTATGTTCAGACAGTACTGCAAACTAAATAGAAGCCCAATATGCAGGATGATTAATGGTCTACCTATATACCATCTGTCTATTCTGAGGAAAGAGTCAATGTAGAAATGAAGGCTAGGGTGCACAACTTCTGCACAGAATGTACGATGTATCTATGCGCAGGTTTCAGTAACTGCTGATTCCTAATCCAATGATCCTGTCGAAGCTGCTTGGAAACCATCTTTTGTTTCAGATCTTCACTCTAATCTTCGCAAGACATCCATTGCATCACATGGATAGCATCATTCTCTTCAAACATCGAGCAGTAACACTTGGCAGGAAACGACTCTCGGATCAACTTACGATGCGAAGCTTTATTACCTAATGTACAAAATAAAGGAAGACCAGCACACGAACTTTACTAATGAGTACCATGCTACCTCGAAATGCTACCTCCATTTTGAAATTTGTCAGCGCATGCCAATGCGTGGGCCCGTAATCTTGAAGGTAATTGTACCAACAAGGCGTCTCGGATGTGAGTGGCTCCGGTTTCACCAGCCCTTGTAGCCAGCTCCAAAAATACCAATGCCGACCCCCCCTCCCCTTCCTAAAAGAAATACAAAAGAAAACGCCACTCTGAGTCCTCCAGTTGCAGAAAGAGGAAAACGTACAGTGGCTTGCAAAATATTAGAGGGAAAATGAAAAAAAACGCGAGAGAAGAAGAAGCAGAAAGGAAGAAAAAGGAACTCCGACTCAAAGTCGTAACAGCATATGCTCACTTCAAAGACATTGCAAAAATAGGATGATGATGACTGCAGAGAAGATTCTAAAATTAAAAGTTCAAACACTCACCGCAAATAAGGTTAGGCCGAACTCAAACTGCGCCTTACTATGACCAGCCACAGCAGCTCGACGCATCCAACGCTTGGCCTCGTATAAATTCCTACTAAAACCTTCACCTGATCGTAAGCACAAAGCGACATTATACATGCCCCGCGTGCTGCCACCCTCTGCGGCTTGCAAATACCACCGGGCCTGTGCATTGAAGCAACAAATTAGAAGACCAACTTGTTTTTGAGTACATGCAAAAGTTGTACAAAGCTCTAAGTTCAGAGAACCTAATTTGCAACCTCGTACATCTTACCCTGGAGGACCAGATTTATTGTATAGCTCTACACTTCAAAGTCAAGAACTCCAGACTATTCAGCAGGAAATGCGAGATGGTTCATAAAAACAAAACTTACAGCTTTCTGCATGTTGCATTCAACTCCTTTCCCTTGTTGCAAGCATAACGCCAGGCTATACTGCGCCCGCACATGACCGGCCGTGGCAGCTATTTTAAGCCACTTCACAGCTTCTACTAGCCTATTGGAATCTGTCCAGAAAAGGAGCGAGCTTTTTAGTTGAAGTGAACCATATCCCCTCACCAAAAACATCATATACTAGAAAAACAGTCCATAACTAAGACAAAAGAAGCTGCAAACCTTGCAAGTAAGCAAGACCCAAGTTGCACATTCCGGCCGGATGTCTGAGCTCGGCAGCTTGCTTGTACCAGTTGATCCCTTCGTCACGCCTCCCCTAAACAAAACAAATTTCAGCACTCCTTCCTTACTGTGCTCGAGTAGATGCTCAAAATTGGTGGTCTACGTACTGCCTCGGTTATCTTACATAAGAGTCAATTAAACTATCTTTGAAACATAAGGAACCAATAAGCCCATAAAGCGGCGCAACTGGACGAGAAAGCAGCACACAACGGATATGATCAATCATGGTAAGAAACCTACCATTTCCCAAAGAAGCAACCCTGCATCCACCATTGCTGCAGCACAACCACGGATAGCACCCTTGGTAAACATCTGCAGAGCTTTATCCAGGTTCTTTGAAACTTCATGGCCATGTTTAAATTTTTTCCCGTAGTGCAAAAAGAGCATCCCTTCTCGAAGTGGTGCAAGGGCTTTGTTCCATGTCTTACACGTACAGGTTGCATTCCAAAGATCATGCCATGAAAAAGACCCCGCAATGCGTTGCAACACATCGAAAGGCAAAGAAGTGGCTGTGGCAGCAGCTGAGCTGGCTACGTCAGAGGATGCCATAGCCTTAACAGACCACAACGTCCTCGAGCTATCCCCTTCCTTTAGCCTAGCCCCAGAGTTCCTTTCTGCCCAAGTTCCTCTCCGAAAACCTGAAAGATCGTTCCCCGGTTCATCACCTAACCTGTGGGAGTCATTCGGACTTATGGCCTTCCTACTAAAAGATGGAATGCTGTACAAAGGCGCCACGTTTTCATGTACTGAATTCCTATCCCGATCGTGACATCGCCATGAGCGTGTGAAGTTCCTATCCGAATGTGAGGAGCGAAAAGACATTCTTGGTGAGGATTCTTCTGTACAAGAATCCTCCCTTGGTGCGCGATACCGCTGTCTGCAAACGTGAGAACATGTCAATACAGACTACCTATGTGTGTGATAGATTAACAGTGCCCATACCCTCAACCTTAATTACAACACAATATGAAAACTAGACTCCAAGAACCAATGACTGGAAACGAAGAAGAAAAGTAGATACACCATCCAAGCAACGTTTTAAAGGAGGCCACCTACCTATGATTCCTCGCAGTACCAACAACATTTGAATGAATGAACCTCATGCGCCTTTGAGAGTCTGAAGAGGACATACAAACTTCATGAATTTGCCTTCCATCTGATCCTGCAGGCCAAGTATTCCGGCCCATACCAGAGCTATCGCTTTCAAAAGACAGGACCATCCTGAATCAAGCCACGCCTATTGATTGACATACGACACCAAATAATTCACTCACAGAGAGGATCGTGTTCAAAATGTGTCTTGAAGTGAAAGAGAGGAGCAGGTAAGCAATTCATTTTTCATAGAATTGCGAAGCCAAACCTAATGAGTTGACTCAGCCCCCAAAACGACTGCTACAGAAAAATTCCGCTACAGCTCAAATTGATAACCGATTTTCATTTTAAAAAAACCTAAAAATCAAAATTGAAAAGCATTACAATTCAGAGCCACATTGAGAGGTTCCTAAGCCTCAGTTAGCTACACAATTCACTTCATTTTCAACAATTCGGAACACATATTGGCATGAACTCAAAGGTAGAACCAACCTGCTGGAAAGCTCCTGCTCGAAGCATGTGCTGGCACGGACTAATCGCCAGCTTATGATATCCGCCTCGCCACCGTCACTAGAACTAAATCCAGAAATTCATCAACCAAACTCCTCCCTATGAAGTGCTCTCACGAAATTCACCAATTCCACAACCCCAACTATTTCGAATAGAAGAATTCCACTCCAGCAAGCTTGAATTGTACCCCACAACTCGAAAATAGGTCAAAATTCTCCAGCCACTGCGCACTCCCGCGGCGTCACAGCAGCCCTCCACAGATCCTCCGGCACCAAATTAACGCCTTTCCACATCGAAAACCTGGAAAATCCAACCATGCAGCTATACACAATGGATTCTGGCAACGTTAGAGAGGAAATGCAAACTGGGTCAAATTCCACTGCCTCGCTCTTGGTATGAGAAGCTCCTGGCTCGCTATGGTGTCCTCACCACTGGGGAGGAGCGTTGTGAAACCGGGCTACGGTGCCCCCCCCCCCCCCAACTCACCCAACCCGGCCCGTCCTGGCTCCACCAGCTCCAAGACACAATAAGATACTTACCCTCTCCTTCTCTCTTCATGCTACATGTAGTTTTTCAGCTACTTCTTCTTCTTCATCGTCATCTTGCAGCCGTGTGCTTTAAAGTGCACAGATATAAATAAAAAGAAGTCTAGATTCTGTCCTGCTCTTCCAGCTCGTCTCTTCTGAAGCTTGATTCTGTCACACACGAGCTGGTTGTATTGCCTGCATAGAATTGCAATTCCACAAGCTTGTGGACTGTGGGTCCATGAGTCTCAGATGCTTACGGCGGCCTTACAGATCAAGCTAAATTAACAGAGTTGAAGAGATGAAGTTGATGAAGTTGTCAGTCAACGGTTTGATACTTGATCGACAACTGTACCGACAGTGTAAATTCGCCGAACTAGCAGACTGGTTTTGTGCAGACCGTAACATTTGCATTTCCGGTGTCGGTCTTTGAAGTTGTGTAGGTCGTTTTGGTGAGCACCATTGTTGTTGTGAAAATTGTGTGAAGTTCATGGTGTCTGACAAGAAACGGCTTCACTTGTGCCATGTGATGGCATTAGAGTCAACTTCTGTACCACATTCCATGTTGGTTTTTGCAACAATAAATGCAAAAGTGCAAGAATGAGTGGGAACTAATGCATCATTAAGTGGCATCAGAGTAGAATGAGTTTGGCGGCACTTTTTCGGAGAGCACATGTGGACCAATCATTTCTGATATCTGAGTAATTTGGGCCTTTAAGTGATGTCTTTTTTTTGTACATCTCACATTCTTTTTGGAAAGAAGCCAATGCATATATTGGTTCTAATAATTATTAATGAGTTCTTTAATGCAAAAAAGAACAAGTAAAAAGATTATATTAGCACCACCACATCATACATTCAATTGGTATAAATGTCAATTTTATGTACTTCTTTAAATCATCACCCTAAATTTTGCCATAAGTCTGTTGCATAGATGTATTACAAGCTATTTATAAATACAAAGCAAGATTCATTACAAGCTATAGCATTACAACTGTCCTAACACTCTATTCATATTATTATTAATAACTCATTATTAATAAAACCATAATAATAAGTTGCGCACATAACAATTGGAAAAGATAATGCTTATAAATTTGAAACAAGATTGCCAAGCAATTATGGGATGACTCACAACTAACATAAGATCTTTCATGAGATATTTATAAGGACCATTCCACAATACATCTTTTCAAATTATTATCAACAAGAGTGAAGTTGAAATGGATTATGTCCTATAGTTTATTGTATTATAGATTTTTAACACAAATAACAACAAAATTAAATTATTCTATGAAGTATCTTTATTTATAATATAATATTAAAAAGTGCAAAAAATAATAGATTTGATTTCCAACTTATAAAAATATACAATAACACAAAGCTTATGACATAAAATTAATTCCATCTTCATTTGAACCAAGATCACAATGTACACTCTACTCTAAGTGCACATTTTGCTACACAATGTGCACAACATGCTGTCTAATGCATAGCATATGAAAGTTTTAGAATAGCATGTGCAAATTGACATAAGACAGTTGAAGTTGCAAGTTTTTTGTACAATAATGGTTAGAAGAATTAACTGTTGAGTGTAGTAAATCAATACAAAATGGGTGTTAGAGTTGGTTTTCTCTTTTCTTTTGACTAAAACCGTAATTGATATTTTTAAATCCATTAATAGAAATGCATCCAACATTGTGAAGAAGGTTTGTATGTAAAAATAAGATTTGGTGTCTGAATTAAATAAAACAAATATTCAGATTTTAAAGGAACGGATTATAAAAGTACTTCTTACTTCTCTTATAAAATGTAAAAAATATTTGTTTCTATAATAACTTGAGTAAGATGGCTTGAGGGACTAATATTAAAGTAAAAGTAGAAAATGTTACCTTATATACGATATTACTTTAGGTAAGTTGCTAGTGGTCAAAGGTTTGACTCTTGATATATGGTAAGGGCATCCAATGGATATAGGACGAAGTCATGGATCAAGAGTCAAAGTCAAAAGGATAAAGTATTAACAAGAGAATATTCAAAGATTAAGTATGAGTCATTAGTATGTGTCATAGGATATCCTCGAAGTTCGTGAGATGCCAAAGGATCCTAAAAGCATGTGTGTAAGACGTAAGAGTAATTAGTATTGGACATAGGATATTCTTGGGACTCGTAAGATGCCAAAAGGATCCTAGGGCCATGTGTATAAAAGTCAAAGAGTGGACGTTGTCTTTTAGGGCAGTAACTACCACCTATAAGTAATGGGTGTTGGAAGTGAGAGATATCTTACTCCATACTCTCTTTGTGTGCAACCTTGCTGATGCTAAGTGTTGTGTCTTCTAAATACTTGTTTTCTTAATAGGTTATAGGTCCACTCACCTTTACTTGTGAGTTTTGAAGTACTTTGAAGTCTTTCTTGTTGTAAGGAGTAGATCTTATGGTTATTGCTGAAGTTTGAGTTTGTTATCTTTTAATCCTTCTTATGCATCTAGTTGTTGATACAATTTTGCTCTTATTTATTGTTAAGTGCACTTATAGTCTTTGTTGTTGTTAGACTCCATATAATGATGTTTTAGAACTCTAGTGTTATATTTCTTTTCTGAGATTTATCATTGGTGTTCTAACTTTATACTTTTATGTAATTAACTTCTTAAGAGATTGTTCTATTTTCACAAGAAGTTTTTTTTTTTTTTTTTTTTTTTTTTTTTTTTTTGTGAGGTTAGAAGTATTTTGTGAGAAAAGAGGGGAGATTGAAGAGAAGCAAAGCTTAAACAAGAGGTTCAGATAGAGTGTAAGACTTGTGAGAAGTCTTATATATGAAGTTGAGAGTGATATAAGAGTGAAATCATTTGTTTACTTACAAAGAGGGCATTCAAGGTTTCTAAGGCAACAACACCTTCTTGTTCATTTTGAAAGTTCTATATCTTCTTTTCTTGATTTTTTTTCACACATCCCTTCCTTAGATATGGCTTCAAATGAGGGTGCGAGCTTGAGAGTGATTGAAAAGTTTAGAGGTTACAACTTTTACCATTGGAAGAAAAAAATGGAGCTTTTGTTGGCTTCATTGGACCTTTGGGACATTGTTGATGAAAGTGAAGACCCTCCAAGTGACAATGCTGATATCAAAGTAAAGAAGGAGTACAAACGCCGTGAAAGGAAGGCTTTTGAGATGATTGCAATAAACCTTGTTGATGCCAACTTTTCACATGTTATAGCTTGCAATGGATTAGCAGAAGCATGGAACACGGAGATGACCTCATAATGCTTGAAAGTAAAGATGGAAGAAGGAGATGACCTCATAGCTCATATTAACAAGATAAAAGCACTTGCTAACCAACTAGCAATTGTTGACAAACCAGTTGATGATAAGGATATTGTGTTGACATTGCTCATGAACCTTCTCGAATCCTACAACTACCTCATTGTGGCATTGGAGTCCATCAATATGAAGGAGCTTACCATGAACTATGTCATGTCAAGACTTGTCCATGAACTGACCAAGAAGAAAGAAAAAGAGCTTGTAAGTGATGATTTGGCTCTATTTTCAAGACAAGGCAAAGGTAGCTATTCTCACCAATGTGATAATTCAAAAAATAATATGAGGAATTGCTATATTTGTGGGAAACCAGGTCATTTTATTAGAAATTGCTACAAGGCCAAGAAAAGAGTTAGGGAGAATGCAAACAATGCTAGTGATAGTTTTGGTAGAGATGAGTATGCTTTCATGGCAAAGGGTGGAGCCTCCATGGCTGCCATGTCAAAGTGGATTATAGTTTCATCTGCTACTAAGCACATGACACCATACAAGTATTCATTTGACACTTATGAAGAAATTTCAGCAACAAAAGTGTGGTTGGGAAACAATGGCATGGTACAAGCCATTGGAATTGGCTCCATTGTAGTGGAGATTGTTGTGAAGGACCAAATGAAGAGGATTAGATTGAAAGAAGTCCTACATGTGCCAAAAATGAAAAAGAACCTCCTTTTGGTGAGCAAACTTATATCACATGGTTGTAAGGTTCAATTTGACATGAATGGATGTTTTGTCAAGTCATTGGATGGCCAACATGTTGCCAAAGGCCTTAGAGATGGAAATCTCTACTTCATCAATTGCAAAAAGGTGAATGGAGTTGAAATAGTGACATTTGCTGATTTTCGACAAGATTAAGACAAGTTTGGAATTTGGCATCAACGACTTAGTCATTTGAATGCCAAATACATGAAGGAGCTCCAATCCATGGTAAGTGGCTTGGATCTTAGTCAATTCAGCTACAATGCCATGACACTTGCTTATGAAGGATGTATATAAGGCAAACAACAAAGGGCTTCATTTCCAAGTGGAGTTGCAACACGTACAACAAAATTGTTGGAGATTGTACACTCTAATGTTTGTAGACCAATAAAGACACCATCAATTGGAGGAGCAAGGTACTTTGTTACATTCATTGATGACTTCTCAAGAAAGGTGTGGATTTACATGTCAAGGACAAGAACTCGATGAAAAACAATTCAGACAAGTGAGCCTTCACTCAAAGAGAGGTAAATAAACAAATATATATATTGAAAGAGAAACTGGAATGGCTATTGTCAAAAGACAAGAAAACTAAAGACCCTTGAAACTAGACTAGAAGCAAGAAAGGAGTTGATAAGAGTGAAGAAGCCTTCACTCTTGTCTCTATATATACTATCTAACTAGGGGCTACGTGGCGACGTTCTATAGGACCTCCAATATGTGTTGACTTTGTAGGACACATGCCTTGACTTACAAGGCAAGTTTTTCTACGTGTGGGCCACATAGTTAGCTTGATCTTCAAGCTAACAACATGTGTGGCACATGGCCAACTTGTTGACCACGTTTCTAATCCAAAAAGTCAATTAAAGACACCTATGAAGTCAAAGCAGCGTCTAGGAAGTTTCTAGAAAGCTTTTATATTAAATATTATAGAATTAACTTACTTTTATC